CGGGCGGGCGGGCGCGGCCATGTGCTGCAATGGTCCCCGCTGGAAATACTTCCTCCCTCGAGAGGAAGCTCTGCCCCCGCCAGCTCGGGGTGACGTCCCCGTCAGACAGGCCAGGAGGGAGAGCGGCCGACACCCGCGGCCCCGGACACCCCGCTGAGGCCCCGCGGTGGCGAGCAGGTGAGTGGACAGACTCCTCCTGCCGGGCCCGTGTGTCCGCAGGGCAGCTCCTCCCTCAAGTTCCCCCGGGGGTGAGCCCGCTGCCGCTGGGCAAGAGGCACCCCAGGCCGGGGCCCGGGGCCTGCTGGTCGCCTCCGGCGCAGTTGCTCCGGCCTCTGGCCCCCATCCAGGCATGGGGGGCTGGGGGAGCAGCCCACCCGGCAGAGCCCCAGAGCCTGGCGGCACCTGTGGCCAGGGAGACCCGGCCCCGGCCCCAAGGCCACGGGCCCTGGCCAGGCCGCCGTGCCTGCTGCCCGGGGGCAGCCGGGGGCAGAGGCAGGAGGGCCGGGCGCCCCTCCGAGGCGCCCGGGGGTGGAGCCAGCCCCTGCCCTGCGGGCCCCCGCGCCTGGCCCCGGCGCAGCTCCCGCCTCGCCCCACCCCGGCGCCGACCGCCAGGGCTCGGGCCACGCTGCCTGCCAGGCTGCCTCCCTCTGGGAGCTGCGCCCGACCCCTCTCAAGGGTGCCGGACATCGGCTGTGCAGGGCAGGGGCAGCCCTGGGAGCCCCACTCGCCCCCAACACTGGCTGCCCGGTCAGCCTGGCCCCGCGTGGACACTCAGGGTGCCCGAGCCCACGGCTGGTCATCTCGGGCTGAGCCTCGGTTTCCCCTTTGTCACAGAGCCGAGGCTGCGATGGCGCCTTCACGGCCGGCCCTGGTGTCCAGACGCTCGCTCCAGGTCCCATCTGGACGCTGCTGCGGGGCCGGCTCGGGTGAACTCAGGGCCTCTGGCCAGGGGAGCGGCCTCTGCGCAGCCAGGGGGCCCGGCCAGCCTCTGCCCGCGGCCCACGCGGGGGGGCGGCTCCAGCCCGAGGGCCCCGCTGGCTCTCCTGCCTGTGTTGGGGTGCTGGCCTGTGTTGGGGTGCTGGCTCTCGTCGGCCAGTCTGTGCGTGGCTGGCCGGCGGCTTGCTGCCCCGGGAGCAGTCACCTTCCCCATTAGTGGGCAGGGCCCAGCCCAGAGCTGCCCGCCGGGACCCTGGCCAGCCTCACAGGTGCCGGGTGTCTGCAGCCCCAGCGGCTGGGCCGCCAGACCCAGGCGGGTGTGTGAGGCCGGAGGGGCCCTCCGGTGCCCTCGCTGCGCCTCCACACAGGAAGCAAGAGGCTGCTGCGCGCCCGCAGTGGCCTCCACCGAGGGGCCCGTCTCGGGGCTGGGTCGGGCCAGCAGGGAGCGGCACAGGCCGCCCACGCCCACTCACAGGGCACGGAGAGGCTGGCGGCAGCTGCGTGGGTGCCAGGCAGGGGGAGGCTGGCTGAGGGCGTGCGGGCAGGGGGGGGCTGGCTGAGGGCGTGCGGGC